GCCTTGATAAATGTCACGGCCCGCGGTGCAGCTCTGCCTCGTTATTCGAGCTTAATTTGCACGTAGGTATAAATCCGACAAGCAGCATTTGGGAACATGAGATTTAGTCGGTGTAAAAGGTGCAGGGCCACAGGGATCCAGTTACAAATCTGCAGCCTGCAGAACAATAGAGCAGCGTGAGGAGCTGCAGATGTAGTGAGCTTGAACCACAGCAGCCAGGTCATCAAGCTGCTCCCTGTTTTCATGTGTCAGCACAGGAGATGAAGTGCAGAGCGGAGCACGGGCCTGAACAGCACCAGCCAGCCAGAGAGCCAGGCAGGAAGACACGCATCAGTCCAGAGACATAATGAGCAACACTTTAGAGGGACAATGTTCTTTAAAAAAAATAAATACATAAAAGCATTTTAAACAGTATATCATACATCCGTTTGCCAGGATGGTGCGTCTATTTACAGTGTAAAAATGCTAAAAACAACAACACTGAAAATCTGTCAGCAAGTTTGTCAGAAGGTAAATGTTAAAAAAAAGATGAATACTATAATGTTCAAAAACTGTGAAAACAGTGAAAATAATTGCAAATATCTGAAGAATAACTGTAATGCAGTAAAATTGTCATTTTATAGTCAGTCACACGTTGTAAAAGAACGAATTACGATTAGTAAAAATACAGATTTATGATGTGGACAATATGTGTATGTTGGCCTGTTTATTTTTTTTAACATGTAAATTATATTTTTTTCTGTGATTTTACAAGATATTATCTGTAACTTAAAAAAACAGGAATAATCTGTGAAATAAACATTTTATAATCCTTAATATACCGAATTTTTGTTTCAAATAACAAATATCTCTATAATAATGTTATACACTAATAAATACAGAAAAAAATAGTGTCATCTTACTTTTGAACACTACAAAAGAATAAAGTACCATTTGCAAAAATACATATTTCTAATGTGGGCTGCAAGGTGGATCGGTGGTTAGCACTGTTGCCTCACAGCAAAAAGGTCGCCAGTTCGCGTCCCGGTGAGGACACCCGGGATCTTTCTGCGTAGAGTTTGCATGTTCTCCCCGTGCAGCGTGGGTTCTCTCCGGGTTCTCCGGCTTCCTCCCACACAGTCCAAAAACATGTTGAGGTTAATTGGTGATTCTAAATTGTCCGTAGGTGTGCTTGGTTGTCTGTCTCTAAGTGTAGCCCTGTGATAGACTGGCGACCTTTCCCGGCCTTCACCCTGAGTCGGCTGGGATAGACTCCAGCCCCCTCGCGACCCTAGTGAGGATTAAGCGGTGTATAGATGATGGATGGATGGTCCCTAATGTGGACATTATTTACAGTTTGGGCCTTTTTGTGGGGTTAACATGTAAACATTATATTATATTATTATTATACATTATTATTAGTTATTCTCCGTAAATTAAACAAAACTGGTAAATCCGTAAAATCTCATTAAATTGTTGTTAACTGTTAAAAAAACATTAATTTATTTCCAGCGTAGGAAATACTAACACATGGAGCAAAAAGGGCACTAATTCTAATTTATGCTAAAGTCAAAAGATGAAAATGTATCGACAAGTGTTTTAATACACGATTAATCACAATTTTTAGGCAAATATCCTGAGTTTTCTGGGAACATGACCAGAATATCTATCTATCTATCTATCTATCTATCTATCTATCTATCTATCTATCTATCTATCTATCTATCTATCTATCTATCTATCTATCTAGAGTTTCATTCATTCTGGACAGTTTATACACCAGACAAATAATCAATCAACAAAGATTAAATGTCAGATTCATCAACACTTAAAAAAAATATTTCTGGCAGATGTATCAGATGTATATTTAACTATATTTTACTCTGAGTAAAGACCCAGTGCCATTCATTGCCTGTTCCGGGGTCAGACTGAGGCAGCCACCAGCAGAGCAAACATCTACGTTAACCTCATGCATTAATAAAGCTTCTATACTATGAGGAGAAAGTTGCGCCTGATCCTGCGAGACACTGGAACAGAAAGTGCATCTGAGGACTTCGCAGAGACGAGATTAAGCCGGAAGAGTAACGGCGTGACTAATCTTGTCTTTTTTTTTTTTAGTTACACTCCCTGATTTGTTCAAACAACATTGTTCTTGAAGCAGGAAAACAGAAGCGCATACGAAGAGGCTTTAAGCGGCGATAGGGACTTCCTACACAACTGCAGAAACAACTGCAGCTTATTAAAAAGTTATAATGCTCCTCTTTGATTATTTATCACGTGTTTTCTTGCTGGATTTAGCCACCAGTGGAGCGAATGTTAGCTCTCAAAAAAAGAAACACAGAATCACCCTTATGTACACTATCTGTAAATCTTGTTTCAGGTGTGAGGGGGGGAAAAAAAAATCTTTGCTGAGACTCGGATGTGGGGCTCTTGTTTGTTGCCGGCATCCCTGTTGTACGATCAAACACAGCGGCAGGAAATAATAAACCTGGACAGCAGCAGCAGCAGCAGGCGGAGAACTCTACCGAGAAAGCCGCGAGATGATATCCCTCCTCCTGTTCCGCACAATCGAACGCATCCGCAAACATCTCAGAGAGTGTTTATCCTAAAAACACTGTCCTTCCAGAGCGCTTTGGGCTCATCGCTCTCTAACGCAGATGAACAAATAGGCAGCAGCAGTAGTTAGTACAGAGGAAAAGGTTAGCTGGCTGGGATACGCCTGCGTGCCACAGAGGTTGCCTTTTGTATGCATGCAATCTGATAAAGCACAAGTTTCAAGTCATCTGCACTTAAAAACAAGGTCACCAGGATGTGAAGAATCTGATACCTGTTTCCTTGACGGGGGAAACGTGTGAGCGGCCTTTTGCATGGTGAGTGGATTTCACAGATAAGCTCTCGAAGTAATCTCGCTGTGCCTCATACAAAAGATACGATGAGGCCATTACTCAGCGGTGCGTGGCCTCAGTCATGGGGCATCTAAGCTGTACTTACAATCAACACATTGACATAATTAATTCCTTTATTAGCCCTCCCCCCTCTTCTTTCCTAAAACAAAACAACAAAAAAAAGATAATTGCTTGAGGGAGCTCTTCCATTTTGTGACTAGTCAGCTATATCCTTAAAATCCTTCAACCCAAAAAACTATGTCAGTCCCCTACTTTTTTTTTTTTATTACAATTATAAATTATATGCGTCTGGCCTAGATTTACACTGAGTCATTTAACTTTTCAGTCCTGGTCCTCTGGGTTTATAGGAGGGTTGTTTTTTTCTGTTTTACAAGCTCATTTAAAAACAACAATAAAGCATCTCTCCTCTACTGTCTCTCCGTGTATTTATACGCCACCACTGCATGTTCTCTCTCCTGTGTTTTGGTACCTCTGAATCTGAAGCTGCACAGTTCTGATCTCTAGTTACTGGTCTCACCAACTTGTCTATAGCTGGTCCCATTTCTATCTGCTGTTCTGTTCTCTCTCTGCTTCAACATCACCCCGACCGGTCGAAGAATTAGCGGTGTATAGATACAACTGAATTGAGTTAAACACTATAGACTTAAATATAGTCAAGGAGATTTGTCTCTAGTTGCAGCTCCTTAAAGTCGAATATATTCTTCTGTTCTGTCTTCTGAGAATAAACTGAAAATCTTTGAGTTCTAAAATGTGAATATAACATGAATTGGTACACATGCTTCCTCAACTTTGGTCATTTTGTTCACCAAACAGACTGAAGAACTGTTTTGACAACATTTGACAACAACTTACTCCCAACCTCCCTTATAGTTTGTTACTGATTCAAACTAAGGCCGCCAACATTAGGAACACCAGGTTTCTTCCTCTTAAAGGGGAGTTTGCTCAAAGGAAATCTGTTGAGTTTCCCTCTACAATATATGTTCACCTTGTTCTGACAAGACTGATGTTGTGATTGCATTATGTAAATGAAACTGATTAACACTGAATAAAACACTGTGGGCTTCATTTAAGCCAAGGTGACTAATCTCTGGCTGCAGCTGCTTAAAGGTGAACGCATATTTTCTTGTGTCCTCTGAGAAGGTAAATATCGTCAGAGCGTTAGGATGTGAAAATAACGGGAACTAGAGCTCGTGCTTCCCTAATTTTGAACATTTGACACCAAACAGATTAGTCAACAGGATCAACCTCATTCACAGACGGCTACTGAGTCAAACTAAGGCACCAACGCACAGGAAAACGAGGATTACATGGAAGTATTTCTTTCACCACAGTGCTTGCTCAAAGGGAATCTGTTGGGTTTCTCTCTATAACACAACACTGTACCCAATGTTGTGAACTATATAGGAGGAATTTTGCAATTCATCTCAGCCAAGGTGACCAGTCAGGAGAGCCTGTGTTTACCAACGACAGCTTCACCAACATCTGTACAGACATGTTGACACACATCTGTGCTGACTTCCCATCTTATGCATGACACCTGAGGACGTCTCCTACCATCCATCCTCTCGCAGTTTCATACTTGACGAGTCTGTAATCCAATCGACCGGTTTGTTTGGACATGACAGCTCGATCTCCAGGCCTCCTCCTCCTCCTCCTCCTGCTGCTGCTGCTGCTGCCTGAACAACAGGCCTTGTGATGCTCTGCAGTGGATCAACATCTGTGGCCAAAATGACACATCATCCGCGTCTTTTGCGCCACCAAATGTCCCGACTTCCCAAACACGATTGTGTAACGGCACGAAATGAGGACGAGGCGTTAAAGAGGAGAGAGACAGAGAGACGATACGGACACGAGAGCTCACACAGCACCGCGCTGTGAGGCGGCTTAGCGAGAAATATGGTTTAGAGGCTAATGAATGGGCCGCGTCTCCACTGGCACGCTGTACAGTGGAATTTTTCACGGAGATACACGGAGCAACACGGACTGATGGAGCCTCACTGTGGGGCCTGTTTGCTTTTTAATTGATCAGCTTCCACACTAATAAGCTCTCGGGCCCGTCAAAATAAACCTCTTCCCCCCCCTAAATAAGCAAATAAGAGCCCCCGGAAAGCTTACCTGCACTCCTTTTCCATAATCGGAGCGGTGCGTTTATGGTCGCTCCCCCACGCCGGGACCGTCGTAAATGTCAAACGGCGCGTTATCAGGCTAATTAAAATCTTAATGGACCGCCGAGGACAGACAGACAGACAGAGCCCGTCCGGCGCAGTGCCATCCTCCTCCTGCCGCCGATCAAAACCGGGAGGGAGGAAGCGCCGCGTCGCTTTGCTTCGGGAGCCTCCTTGTACAGGTTTTTTTTTCTCCTCTTCCCGTGTGCGAACCGAAGTCAGAGGAGAAAAATATCTCCGGAGGCTGAGACAACCATGACAGCCGTGTGACGGAGCCGACGGTTCAGCGGGGACGTTGCTATAAACGGCCGCATCAGTCACAGCGAGTAAATCACACAGAATGGCTGGCGTCCTGTGGCTGCCGCCGAGCACGAGGTGGGGCGAGCCAATCGGATTGCAGAACCGACCGTGATTGACGTGTCGCGGACCAATGAGAGGGCGGGACTGCGGGATCCCCGTAGACGGACAACAGAGGGAGCCAATCAGCGCCGAGATTTATTCTGCTGGAAGGCGGGCCCTGCAGGTGTCACACAGCGGTGTCACTTAAACGGATTTATATGTGTGTGGCGGCTAAATTATTAATTACGTGACAAAAATGTTATATGGGATAGTTTTAGTCACTGAGATTGATTATGCCACAGCAACCTACTGTAGTCATGCCATAACTACAAGCGTCTGTAGTCTTTACTGCTGTTTTTAGTGGTAGGAAGTACCTGTTCAATGTAAACAGACGGAAATTGCCCTGAGATAGGCAGCAGGTTGCCTGTTACTGCACAGTGGTTCCACATCTCTATCAGTTCCTCTGTTTAAAAAGCTTCCTACATCAGTATATTGAGCAGCTAGTGAAGGTAAATAAAGAAAAGGACAATATTTTACTAAAAGTCTTCATAGAGGCATATGAATGAAGTCAAACAATAGTCATTCATGAAAGGTGAAGCTAAAATTGGAAAGGGAGGCAGTGTGATGGGAGAAGTTATGTGAGCTACAATAGAAAACTTAAGGTTTACGAAGAGTTCAGTTGGAAAAACCCTCATGAGATATTTCATTACACATTATACGGAAACTTCCATGTTCTGGAGACATTCTGGGCCGACTGAAGCAAATCACTACCATATATGTTGTTCTTGTCCTTTATTTATTCATGGTATGAGGGTCATAAGATTTAGCAAAAAAGTAGTTAGTTTGGACATTTCATTTAAACTACAGACCCCTGTACATTGGTGACATGGCATCAAACAGAGTTACGTCCAATACCAGTTATCTACTACAGTTTACTAAACCATTGCTTTGGGTATTTTCAAGATAGAAAGAATTACTTTTACTTTAAAACTGCAACAGGATGTAAAACTGTATCTTGTAGAAGTCCACTATAATTCACACTTCATCTAAAATCAGAAAGACATTTGAATAACATTTTATTCCTTGTCTTGTCATGTGTTGTCTCTGCTACTGCTCTTTTTAAATTTGAAGACAGATATTTTTGTTTTAAAGCAGGTGTAGCAAATCCAAGTTGTCATAAAGTAATAAAAAATATTTAAAATGTTCTTTAAGTGAGTATTAGATCATGACTGCTGATGCAATAATGTGTGAGCAGCATTTTGACAAGCCTATTGTGTATAGTACTGAGTCTCTAAAAATGGATTGTGTTTTGTGAACTTGTGTTTTTGTATGTACATCTCACTTTGTATGTAATAGTAGCTGTAGCTGCCAGATAAATGTGTGAAAATGTACAATTTTCCCTGCCTCTAGTGGAGTGGAAGCAGCAGCCTATAAAGCATGAAATGGAAAAATGCAAGTAAAGTGCCTTGAATTTGTTCTTTAGTGCAATACTTGAATTAATATTGTACTCTGTCTGCGTTCCACCGGTGTCACGGTGTAACTATAGATTTATGTACCTTGAAAGCAGACTTTGTCTCGTTAACTTTAGTCTCTCTGTCTGGAGCAAATTGAAATTAGATTTATGTTCATGGTTTACAGCCCACTAAGGCCTACAACACTAAATTAAGTAGATCTACCCCTGAGTTCGTTAACTTAATGTGAAAAGTGTAGAGCTTTACACATTTTAATCAAGATCTGAAGCAAATAAGTAAACAAAGTAAAGCAAGAGGCTGTCACATGCCAGCGGTTTTCGAGATGAGGTTACAAAGGTCGCCTTTTAAGGAGGCAAACACCCAGCCAGGAATCTTCAAGCCAGAACAACAACTAGTACTCAGATAGAACTGGTGTCTTTGAAAATCCTGCTTTTCCAACTTCAATACCAACGCTGCCACAGTGAGGTATGAGTTGAAGGATGACTGAACAGCAGGAGATGAGGTGCTGCAGACTGCTGTGGAAAAGCCAGAGTTGTTCTGAGGCTGCAGCAGCAACAGCAGGAGGCCAGTAGGGATCAGAACACAAGGAAGGAGCCAACACTGGGGAAAACATACACATATTATACAACCGAAGCATCCACTAACAGTAATTTGTATGCTCCTTTTGGAAGTCAGTTATTTGTGCCTTACAAGAGATACTTAACCAGCGATAGATTGCTGACATCTGGTGCTTTCAGACATAATACTGTCTGTGTCTTCATGCATCGTGATAATGTACACTGTACCTGTGTTTAAAGCTCAGACTGGAGGTATGTTTTCAATCTTCTCTTCCATTTGATATCTTTTTCCACAAATACCCAGGAGGAGATCTTACCCAGCTCTACATCTATGTACCTGTACTGTCACTGTATTCCACACAAACAGTATTACTACCCCAGCATGTAAACTTCCCAAAGCTGTGCCTTCATATCTGCCTTCACTGTTTAGAATGGGCCAGAATTTGATTTAAGAATGAAATGTTGACCTTCCACATGATGAGAGAGGAGGATGTTCATCTGGTAAAAGACCTTATTGCCATCCAGTGGACAGATTGGATACTGCAGTTTCCACGGTTCTGGTTTTCAGCAGTATATCGTTCAATATATCTATATGTTTGTCTTCTCTCTCTTATGCTCTGTCCTAAAACTTATGCTATACTTGAAGTACCATAATGGAAACTCTATTACATTCATTCATTGACTGCATTTAATTTTGTATACATATTTTTTTAATAAATAAAAATGTACATTTACATACATTTATATACAGATTGTTTGTTTATTTGTTTATTTTTTGTCCAGTCTATGCGTTCATTCTGTGCTTGTATTAATACTGCACAGGCCCTGCTGCTGGTGCCTTCAATGTATCACAAACAATTATTATAGTACTTATCATACACACTCAGGAGTAAATGTTTACATAAAGCAGGAACATGATTATGTATTTATTTTTGTGTTTTTTTTAACGTGTCCGTTTGTCAATTTACGTGACGAAAAATTTGAGCCATCAATAGGTGTTTATTAAGTATTTCAGTATCCAATAATTAGTCGTTTTTGTTTGTTCGGATGAATGAAAAAATGCAACTCAATGCATTATTCGATGTATAAAATATTATTAAAGCCTGTTAATATTTTCGTTGTGGTGTTTTTTTTTTTGGTTATAATCAGGCAAAAAGAGCTGAACTCGTTTCTCCCCGCATCCAGGACTGGCAATGTTTACGAGGTGCACTTGAACGCAGCATACATGTGTGCTCACTGTGCCGTGAGTCGCTACTCGCTAGCTTGGTAGTTTCACGCACATCGACATCTGCGGAATATAAAATACCACAGCAAGGTAACGTTGTAGTGCCTATCAGCAATGTACATCACGCTCGTAAAGAGTGTTGACACGCTAATTTTTTGACAATGGAGAAAAGTTGTCAATACTTCAGCAGCAGCTACATTTGTAAATTTAACGCTTGCTTCGGTAGCTAGCATGCTAGCCGCATTAGCATTAGCTTTGATTCAGCCAATTTGGCATTTAGGCTAACGTTAGCTGTTTAGCTTTAGTTAGCTCTGGTTTGTAGAGAGCAGTCTTATTTCTAGCCATGCACACGTAACGGCGTGATGACACGAAAGTTGCTAAGTAGATAAATCATATGTTGCTGCTAGCTTGCCGCTAGCTAGCCGGTATGAATCAAAGAGAAGGAGGAGGACTCCATTGTTTATGACGCCGCTGTCTCCGCCGGGTCACACGCCGGTCCGCTATAATCTGAACTGACGCACCTGTCAAAGCTAACGGTATCACGTTGCTCATTAAATGCTGCGATGGCTTTTAGCTTCTCTTCTAAGTGGTTCATTAATTTCTGGAGCTACGTTATGCTAACGTTAGCCCAGTGATCCTTGAACATTGCTGCCACATTAGCAAGTTTAAAAGACAGCTGAACCAGTAGCAACACTTTATTCTTAAAACACAGTCCATTCCTAGATTACATATTTTTATACACTCATGGACGTTTCACCTATAATGATAAAATGGTATTACCAGATTGTAAAAATTTTGAAGAATATTTGATTGTTTTTATAACTACCTGTAAGAAAACCTGGCTTTCATTTACAGCTTAAATGTTCACATGAACGTGACTCCTGTTTTCCATGCTTTTGTACAGATGGCAGAGACCGATGTTGATAATGAGCTTCTGGACTATGAGGAGGATGAGGAGCCACAGGGAGCCCCAGAGAGCGGCATCCCAGCAAACAAGAAGGAGGTGAAGGGCTCCTATGTGTCCATCCACAGCTCAGGCTTCAGAGACTTCCTCCTCAAACCAGAGCTGCTTCGTGCTATTGTTGACTGTGGTTTTGAGCATCCTTCAGAAGGTGAGTAGCAGTTTTAGATTGTAAAAAACACACTCTTGGACAACGCCACACCACAAATTCTTTCTTTTGTTGTGATCATGACATCCTGATTAGTGCCGTTTGTTTAATTTTCAGTCCAACATGAGTGTATTCCTCAAGCTATCCTGGGCATGGACATCCTGTGTCAGGCTAAGTCTGGTATGGGAAAGACAGCAGTGTTCGTACTAGCCACCCTGCAGCAGATAGAACCCGTGGACGGTCAGGTGAGTCGGTCATTGCATTTTTACAGGCTCATATTTCATTCAGAGTCATTACACCTCCTCTGTATTTCTATATCCCGACTAGGTGGTGTGTACAATGGTGTGATTCTGTTATGTAAATTTATATTCCCATGGATTATTTTGTGTTGCTGTCAAATGGAAAAAAAAGAGTCTAGTTTTCAGTCCTGAGGCCTCTTGCAAATGCATTAAAGAGGCTTAACAGATCTGGTTTGCATTTTTCCTAGACAGTGTTTCCACCTTCATATGACATTTTTGAGAGAGTGGTATTTTTAGCACATGGACAGTAAGACCTCTAACTGATTCCACACACCCTTTTTGTTTTGTAAAAAAGAACTTAAAGGCTTTACGATGAAGCTTACACATGCAGCCCATGTGTGGCTGTTATAAAAATAAAGAACTGGCCTATTTACAAGGAGCAGCAGATCATTTATTCTTTGCTAAATTGTTTGTCTGCTTTATGGTGCGAATAACACTTTGGACAATAATGAAAACCAAGTGCTTATGAATAGGATTGTTTGAGGGGAATTTGGTTTATATCTATGTACTATAATTCGTCAAAGTAATGCATTCGATGTTTAACCAGTGGACCATGTCAGAACTGTCATCACAAACGATGCAGCCCTGAGGTTCAGCATTAATTTTTAAAATGTGTTTGGCATTTTATCGCCAAAGGGAAATGTTGAGAGAGACACCTGCATCAAAGGTCTGTGGCTGAATGTGAACCAGGGGAGTTAGAGTTGTTAGTTAGCTCCTACATCAATATGGCACCAAACCCCTCTCATTGGGGTCCAAGAAAGAGTTATATGATATGATATGATGGTTACAGAAATAGCATTAACGACAACGCTGAAATGTGTCTGAAATATTTAAAGTCCTGTAAATAACTGAAGGAATCAAGTAGCAGTAAAACATGTGAGACACTCTGTATGAAGAGTAAGAGGTAATTAAGACTATTGTCCCTCTTTTATTTGTATGCCAGGTGTCTGTTCTTGTAATGTGCCACACGCGAGAGTTGGCCTTCCAGATCAGCAAAGAGTACGAGCGTTTCTCCAAGTACATGCCCAGCGTCAAGGTGTCCGTGTTCTTCGGCGGCATGGCCATCAAGAAGGACGAGGAGACCCTGAAAAAGAACTGCCCTCACATTGTCGTAGGAACTCCAGGACGCACTCTGGCCCTCATTCGTAACAAGACCCTCAGCGTGAAGAACATCAAACACTTTGTGCTTGACGAGTGCGATAAGATGCTGGAGCAGTTGGGTGAGTGAGAGGAGCAGAAGTGATTTATAGTTACATAAACTTGAGAAATGACGACTTGACAGGTAGAGATAATGAGCAAGTTTAAAGTCGTGTCAGACAGACAGAGGAATGAATGAGTATGCGATTTGTTTTTTTCCACAGACATGAGGTGTGATGTCCAGGAAATCTTCAGGCTGACGCCACATGAGAAGCAAGTCATGATGTTCAGTGCAACACTAAGCAAAGAGATCCGCCCCGTCTGCCGCAAGTTCATGCAGGATGTGAGTTATCATCCAATGCTGCATGTCACAAGAAGCAGCTTCAGTTTGATCTGTACAGTCTTTACCATAATGATAGCAGTAATACACTTAGTTTGCTTTGGAAGATAAGATTGTAGCTTGTCTATAAATCAGCGGCATTGAATTATACAGACTGACTGGTCAAGGTTATGTTTGTTTTTTATTTCTTATGGCTCCATGCCGGCTGTGGCTGCATCTGTCCTATGCTTGAAAATGCGATATTTCAGGATTGCATGGAAGGAATTCCTTCAAATCGGGCACAAATGCTTCACCTGCACTCACAGATGAGTTCTTGGTCAAGAAAATGATCCCCATGGAGTTTTTTTTTGGCCTTTTTGCCGTTATTAGATAGGACAGTTGAGAGAGAGAGAGAGACAGGAAAGTAGGGGAGAAGAGTGGGGGAAGGAGTTGCAGCAAAGGGCCATGAGTGGGATTCAAACCCATGGCTGCTGCATCGGGGACTATAGCCCCTGTGCATGGGTCGCCAGCTCCACCAGGTGAACTAAAGCAGCGGCCATGCTTTATGGAGTTTTATGACTGTTTTATGACTTCAACAAACAGCAGAACTTCATAATTATTTTCTATTTCATGACCTGCCTGTGAGTTAAGATTCTCTGTATGTTGGTCATGTGTAGGTGTTGAGAAAGACCGTGTGGTGCTTTTAGTCAAGTCCCTTTTAGCTTTGCCCACTTGTGGCTGTCTGTGTCATAAGTGGCCATATCAGAGGGGCAAATGAAACCTCCTCAGCAGATCTGGCTTCGTCAGGACAGTCGTCCTCATAGCCGTGCTGCGGTGAAGGAGAACAGATATGTCAAAAGCAAAGTCCATGCTTTTACATTGCTGATGTTTTCTGCAGAGTTGTGTTCTAAATTAACGTCGATCCTCTTCTTGTTTGCTGCGTAGCCGATGGAGGTATTTGTGGATGATGAGACCAAGCTGACACTTCATGGATTACAGCAGTATTACTGCAAGCTGAAGGACAGCGAGAAGAACCGAAAGCTGTTTGACCTGCTCGATGTGCTCGAGTTCAACCAGGTAATATTTAGAGATAAGTCAGAATCAATTATGTGCTTATTTATAACAGCATTTTCCATCCTTCATAAAGACCTTTATACTAGCAAGTATGCATTTGCAGCCTCGGTCTTTGTCCAGTTTGTAAGTTTTAGCATTTTATAAGCTAAACGTTTGTCCTCTAGATTACTGGTGCGACACCCTCCTCCCTCCCGCCTCGACTGTTCTCAATACAGATGTAAAAATGTGCACGTCTGAGTCGTTTGTTCTGGTTTCTGGTAGGTGGTGATCTTTGTGAAGTCGGTGCACCGTTGTGTTGCTCTGTCCCAGCTATTGGTGGAGCAGAACTTCCCCGCTATTGCCATTCACAGGGGCATGGCCCAGGAGGAGAGGTAGGTGCTGTTTCACAATGGAAATTTGACAGTGGTTTCTTAAATTAGTCTCAAAATGTATAACTTTCTTGTAACTACACACTAAATTTAGGCTGATGTTGTACTAATGATGTGCTATCCTATTCAAGCTAGGCTGCTAAGCTAATCACATAGTCACAGTTAATGATGTCGTCCCTTCTCTGGCCCCCAGGTTATCCCGGTACCAGCAGTTTAAAGACTTCCAGCGGCGGATCCTAGTGGCAACCAACCTGTTCGGCCGAGGCATGGACATTGAGCGAGTCAACATTGTCTTTAACTATGACATGCCAGAGGACTCTGACACATACCTTCACAGAGTAAGTTCAGCTACAGTGTAATTTAAAGTGTTTGTGTCAGAAATCTGTATTTTCCCATTTCCCAAACAAATAATCACAAATAAGACACATTTGTTTCTGTAAAATGTATTTGCATAGGTGGACAGGAATCCGCTGATTTGTAGAAATAATGTTAAAAGTAAATGTCATATTTTTAGAAAGTCATAGTAGCTCCAGTGTGAGATAAAAACTTCTTACATTTAAAAACATGGTGGCATTCCTGTTTCTTTCAAACACAGCCTCCTTTGAGCCTTAACTTTCTTCTCTTAACCTCAGGTGGCCCGAGCTGGCAGGTTTGGCACCAAAGGCCTGGCCATCACCTTTGTGTCGGATGAGACTGATGCCAAGACCCTGAATGAGGTCCAGGATCGCTTCGAGGTCAATGTAGCAGAGCTACCAGAGGAGATCGACATCTCCTCCTACAGTAAGTTTTTTTTGTTGCCTACAGGTGCCACACACTTGTCTAGAAGATGCTCATTCTCAGTAGCAGCGTTTGTTTATATTAGCACTAGCATCCTGGAATTTAACAGCTTTTTACATGTTTACACGTGTATGGATATCTGTCATATCTTCATTGTTAACATGGGGGATGCAATAAGACTTTTGGCCCCTGTATTTTGTCACAATGTCAACAATACACTAATCCGCAACATCCCATTTGATAGCTAGTGTATATAAAGTTGTTACATCACAGTGTAATATCCTAAAATCGTTCTGTTTCTGTTTTTGCAGTTGAACAGTCCAGATGAGTCTGAAACGTTGTTCCAGTGAAGACCGTGTGACCCTTGTCGTTGCTGTATTTTGGTGGAAGGAGATAAAGCTCTCTACATTTATTTGAATGCCCACCTCCCACCATATATGTAGACAAGTAATTAAGAAGACATTTTTATTTTCTCATGTCTTTGCGAGTGCTTGTTTTAGTGTTTTCCTTGTTGAAACCATGGATATATTGTTTTGGTTAAAGAAATAAACTTTTTTATACCTCATTGAATGGTGTCGGATGTATTTTGCACGATTTCAGTCATTGTCAAATGTTCCCATCATGTCAAACACAACTTTTGACTGTAGGTGATTATAACCACAAGCAGAGGGCGCTGTTGTCCCAGTTTGAGGCCAGGACCACTGTTTACCTTAACAACCGGCAGCTTGGAACTGCCTGCCAAGTAGCATAATTTGAAACTGTGCAAGTTGAGTTAAAATAAAACCTCACATGAAACCTGAGCTTGGAAGCCAGTTTTATCACATGGATGGACCAACAAAAACTTGTGACAGCTACACTGTAGTGTCTCAATCCATAAAAGTGTATAAATGTGACAAATAATACAAAATTGGATCAAAATATAGAAATGCAGTTACAGAATACATTGTGATCCAACAGAAATTCTGAAGAAATACAGGTTCATGTAAGACATTTTTTTTTCTGAGTTGCATTTAATGCAAAAACAAGAAATCAATTGGCATCGGTTCAGTCTTTGCCGAATGCTCGTCATGAATTGCATTTGTTTCCTGTTACACGGAAACGGTCATTCACTGATGTGTGCACATCGCAGCGTGCATAAAAGGCACATGTGATTTATGTGTTCAGATTTGTAACATTCTGTGCTGATTTTGTGTATTTGGAGGGGGAAAAAAGTCCACGTTTTGCATTACACTCTGGAGTTTTCTACATAAAACTGCAAAAGTTAATCTTTTGCTGGTTGTCAGTAAGTAGTCACAGTGCATTGTGGGACATAAAGTAATTACAGTAGTTCAAGCTACTGATGCAGGTGAGGTGATCTTGTTGGAGATTCTTGTGCACTGGTAACAGTCACAGGTTTCAGTGCTAAATAAAGTGCTTTGTTGCTTTTGTAGTGTTTCTCCTCTCAGGCTGATCTGAGAGTCTCGAAAGAAAAAAAAAAAAAAAAGAAGAAAAAACAATCCTCGACACCTGAACCAGCAATCAGTTCAGAGTACAGGAAGTCCAGGGAGTTTCAGGGCTCTAATTTAGGTCCCACGTCAGTTTGAACAGGAGCAGGCAAGTGTACAATCCACTCTGGTCACACGTATTACAATACAATACAATATGGGTTGCCTTTATGATTGTGTGAATAATACCAGGGCGGTTCTTCCTGCCTTGTGGCCTTCACTCGCTTGGAGCCAGATAAGAAAAAAACATAAATCGGCTCCTCGTCTCGGAAGTGTCCTCTCTCTTTAGGAAAGCTGACCTCATCACATTCGCATCAACAACCATCCTCACCACTAGTCTAGTCTATGAACTTGTGCGTGTCTCCGTACATCCAGTGCTGTGGAGGAAGGGCCACTTCGTTCAGGTGGCCGCAGTCGTCGCTGCATTTACACGACTGGATGAACATGGCCTGCCTCTGGAAGCGCTCGCCGTCCGGGCACACGAAGGTCACGGGCACGGTGCGCGTGCGCCGTGGCGAGCAGCACCGTCCGTCCGTACAGACGCCGCAGTAGTTCGGCCGGTAGAGGCGGACGCTCACGCATTCTCCGTAGGACAGGTGGACGGGCTCTGGGGCTTTCTGAGTGGGCGAGCAGGTCTTCCCTTTCTGTGGTTGGATTAAGAGAGTAAAGAGATGAGTCTCGTAGTCTGGACTGACAGGGAGTCTTGTCCCCAGTTGGCTTCAGTGGCAAAATTCAACCAAACAAGTCATACGATTTAAAAAGAAAAAAGAAAAAAAAATCTAATAAGCTTTGACTTCTCCACCCGTCTGCCCCGTCCTTCCACATAACAGCAGATTTAAGCAGCTTTACACTCCAACTCATTAGTTTCACATTAGGAGGACCAGACTTCCACTTGTTGTGCCAAAACAGGGACTCAGAGAGGGATTATTTTTAGATTTAAGTGATTAATTTTAAGATTAAAGATTGATTTCACATCTGAGTGTCCGTTTCTGCTAAACACACCGACACCAGCGATTGTTCCGAGGTTTTAACCCACTAGAGCAGAGAAAAGAGCCCTTAGTGTGTGTCCAACATGGAGGATTAATATAGACACACCACTTCCCTGGACTCTGAGTACACAGACGGGGGCTAGCTATGGACAGTTGCTTGGCAGGAATGCCGGGGGTGGGGGACTATATTTAAAAAGGCGCCTGCCTGCCACCAAAACACTGCTGAGTAAATCAGCACTGCCCAGTTCCCACTGGATGTGGAGCTTCCCAAAAGCACTGCTAAGATAATCTCTGTTCTTAAGCTCAGGATAAAGATGGCTTTAGCACTAAGAGCATATTTACTCAGGGCCAGAACATCTAATTTTTCATTCTTTGTGGCATGGATTTGATGTTTTCGGCTTCTGCGCTTTGGTTGAAAGACAGAAACAAGAAAACAAAACAAACACGAGCAGGTATTGTTTTGCTCTACATATCTAGACATAGATAAGAGGTGGAATTATCGCTTATTGGTGAGTGTTATCAGAGTGCAACAAGGCCTCGCTCTGTGCAAGAGATAAGCTGTCGTGATTAGAAGCTATCTTGGCAGTAACATAGTAATAGATGTGTTTGACCTGTGCTCTCTGTTTTTTCTTGGTCTCCCTGGTTCAGCTCACCTTGGCTGGGACGGGTAAGCTGTGACACGGCCGCACGGTGCAGATCCTCGTCTCTCTCTCCAGTTTGCACTGAGGGTTCTTGTTGGTGATCCGTGACGAAACGCCCATCCCACAGCTGCGGGAGCACTGGGACCAGTCGGTGGTCTGGACCGGACACTTCTTCTCCTTCAAAGGGTTCCACGCTGAGGAGCCATGAAGAGACGGAGGGTGGGAGACAGGGGGAGAAAGACAACTCAATTAGACCCGAGATAAAGATAAATCTGAACTCTCAAACCTCCTGACAGGTTTGAAAGGCTTTAAAAAAACAAAAAAATGTCAAAAAATTACACCATTTTTCAGCGGCAGACTGTAAAAAACACAAACGATTATCAGTTTTCAACTTTCCTGCAGTCCTTTAACGATTCCTCTGTGCTGTTCTGTTGCAAAACTCAACTAAAATGAAGCTTAAAATTGTGACATTTCAACAAGAAAAACCTTTATTTTCAACGTCTCATTCAGAAATTTAAATCAGATTCTGTAAAAAATTCTGCACTCCTCCATGCAACTGTAAAGCCATTAGTGACTCTGCTGTGACCAACAGTCACATGACAAAAATTAAGGCAACTCTTGGCTGAACTTCAGGCTGCGTTTCCACAGACAGGATAGGAGACAAGTATGGAAACAAATTAAAAACTAATCTCTGAAAATTGAAGAGAGACATTATGCTTCCTGGGTAATAAATTCTCATGACTTTGGAGGTGCTCCGACCTTTCCTCTGGTGAACCCGTGAGGTTGGCATGTTGTTGTTTTTAGTGAAATGTCTCCAGAACTAAGACGTGGATTAGAATGATTTTTTTTTCTTCAGACATTCGTGTCCCTTCAGGATTAACCGTAATAACTTTGGTGATCTCCTGACTTTTGATCTAACACCGTAATCACTTTAAAATTGGTCTACATTATTGTTTGATGTGTTTATTGCCAAGTTAAAGACAAGGGATTTACAGGAAGACATCTGAGCCACTAGATAAAGTCACTACGATTATACAATATATATCAGTATAAATATGGATTTTCTTGTTGTAGTACACTTGTGCACATCTATAGACTCTTAATCTGGTCTTCTTGAGAATAACTTCATGCAGCAGGCTGACAAAAAGTAGTCATTCATGTCACAAGCTTCGCCTCTTACTCTGTTTTAATGGCTTGTTCTAGTTAATGTTCTGTTAGTTGTGGTGGAAAACCCCCAAATAAAGTGCAACAAAAGTCCACATTTTGCCTTTCAGTTTGTCAAAACGCCTATTTATGGCATCACAGTCAGTGAAATCTCTCTTTCTCTCACCAGGCAGGTGTTTGTAGCCTTGTTCATCCTCCCAGCTGCTGGACTTGACTTCTGTGAGCTTGTTGGCGAGGAGCAGCTCATTTTCAGGGTGGTGCGGCTCGGGATGGTGCCAAGGTTTCGGCAGGTGTTGTTGTGGCGGAGGCACCTGTGGTAAAAGATAAGATAAGATGAGACGGTGCTGTTTGCTGGGGATTCATCTCTTCCGTGACCGTGTCTGCCTTTTGTGTGTTTTTCCACGGTGTTATCACCACAGGTGCCCTGATTATGAAGTGGGTTATTTCGCTGGAATCGGTCAGATGAGAGGTCGAGATTTGAAAGCACTTATGAAACAGGAGGGAGTCCGTGCCAGCAGGTACGGCTTTTATCTATCAGGAAGTATTCGCAGCTTTTTGATACGAAAAGAGCAATGACTTTTAAAAGAAAGTAATAAATAAAAGAAAAATCATTTTTTGTCTTATGTTCTTGCCCTCTGTTTCTGCCAGCGCATAGAACTACAGCATTAAAACCCCAACATAGTGAAATCAACAGCTGGTCGAGAATAACAACTACTTCTCTTGCATTTATGACCAAATTATTAATTGATAGAATGACATAACACTTAAATCAGCACTGAATTTACACAATAGCTGCTGCTTAATTAGTTTACTGCCGTCTGCTTGGTTGAACGAAAGTCCAGTTGTGTTTGTACAAAATTTCTCTCTCATCGTTTATCTTTGATGAATTGTTCTTCCACCACCGTTGCACTTAGTCTGTAACAAATAGGTCGCCAAACATCTTAAAACCAGCAGACTTTAATCACTGCACCACAAAACAAACCTGGTGCTTGGCCGGAAGGCGCCAGGTGCCCTTGTGGCAGTCGACGCTGAAACAGCACTGGCCGGGGATCCTGACCAGACGAGGGTAGGGGCAGGACGGCGACGCAGGGGGCAGCTTGTTGTTGCACAGAGGAGCGCAACCGACGGCGCCATCGATGCAGGTACACTGGTGTTTACAGCCGGCACGGAAGCTCTCGCCGTTCTGGTAGATCCTGCTGTTGTACTCGCATGTCCGTCCCTCTGATTTTGCTGAAAGGACACAGATTAAACTGATGAGGGGCACTGCAGATACAGAAACCTGCTGCTGTGAAGCATTAAGCAGAGTAAGGTTCCTGGTACAACATCCAGGGGTTGGGTACATCACAGAGGCAGTTCTTTAAATCTGAAAGGAGCGAGGTGTGACAAGTATCCCCTACATTATCTTGTTTCAACAAGCTAAAACCTTATGCACAGTTCATTGAATCTAGCACAGTAACTCCACACTGGAACAGCTACACAGAATCACACAGGGGACAAGTGAGATCGAAAGGTGAGTGGGGGGCAAAAAAAAAAAAGTAAACAGGAAGTGTCAGACTCCTCGTCTCCGAAGAAGAACCAGCTATTCATAGTTTGTGGGACTGCACTGGCATGGTACAGATGGAAAGAGTATTTTTATCTCTGAAACCCCCTGTCGCTGCCATAAAACATCGACGACTCATTAAAATGCCCCCCTGTGCTCTCCCAGGATGTGCAAGGTTACACGTTGCTTAATCACCGAGCTGTGATGGCTTCTTCTCGCGACCTTTGTCATGACATTTTTGTGGCTTTTATAGCCCATCGCACTCATCAAGTTAATGTTCATTTTAAGATACGTGTTAGTATTAGGTTTGAAATGAATGAGGTCACGACTGAGGGTCCAAAGCAGTGCTGAATGATCAGAATTTTGAATTTTTCTGGCTGATAGTGTGATTCAGATTTGATTTGCAATACAGTTATTCTAAATCAAGCTTCCATTCAATATTTACTGTGCATTAAACTGAATCACCACTTGAGATTTTAAGCCCCGAGTCAGACACGCTGCACATCCTGAATCGCAGCCCTTGTGATCTAATCGTGATTTGAAATCCATCAGCTGTTCAGTCCAAATAGCTGCAGGTGCCAGCTTTTATTTTCCACAGGTAGGATTCCTTCCCTGCCAACATACATCACTCCCTCCGCCCTCACCTCGACAGATGCCCCAGGCCATGGTCACATCGTTGCCGTAATTACACTCCAGCCCTTTGTGGTGGTCGCAAGGCCTCACTGGGCTGCAGTCTTGATTAAGCTGTGCAGCACACACCTTGCAGCACCCACATCTGTCCGGCACAGCGCTAACACCTGGAGGGCAAACCGGGGGCTCTGCGGGACACTCGCACTCTGCTGGGCAGCTAGCAGTCACCTGGAGGGGTCAGACACATGATGTTTGCAACATTTCCTATAACTACTAAAGGAAAAAAAAAATCATACAATGAACGCAGATCTTTCTCAGAGAACATAAAACACAGCCACAGTTCTTTACAGAGTTTTGGCAAATCCACACAGCACGACTATGCGGCAACCAGGGTGTTAAAGTCATCAGCGGTTGAGTTCAGTGCTCCAGTTTCAGCATCAAAGTGCGAGGAAGAGCTTTGGCGCATTAACCTTTGATTCTGTATTATCTTGTAGACTCCCCAGGATTTGTGGCTGATCTTAATTTCTTCCACAGACAAGGCACCGCCTCTCCAGTAAGTCAAGTCACTGCCGGCCAGTCATCCCTGAGCGTCTAGACAGCCAGTACCCAGTCCCCCTGCTGGCTCCTGACTTTGAGTCATGGCTCAGCACTAGAGCCAACTTGTTCCAGTTTGGAGGAATCAACATGCCGCTGAGCTTTAAGAAGCAGACATGAGTAGACACGCTGATTGCCAGTAAAAGCAACCATCTTCAAAACCGTATTCATTATTATATAAGCAGGGATGTACTGTGAGTGATAACCCCACCTTTAAAGCCTTTATTTTATTTTTAGGCTGACAGAGCTCTTTCTTTCATAAAGTCATACCAGCAATGAGTCCACAACACTATAAAATCATCCTAATATTTGTGTTTGCTCACACACAGCTACAACATGTGTCCAAGAGAATATTATCTTACCTGTGTGATGACGGCTGTTGTCAGAACAGTCAGGTAGATCAGAAATGCCATGATTAGCCAATTAAAAGTGTCATAAAATACCAATAAAGTTAATAAAAAATACCTTCAAGCAACAATCTACTGAGTGATTGTTGGTCTTAAATTGCTTCACTACAAGTTTCAGTCTCTCCTCAGCTCGGACCTTGGTCCTATTTCTACTGGATGAGAGTCTAAACTCTAATTTATACCCGCTGTGAGCCTCGGAGAGACCACGCCCCCTCTCCATAAATCTAACCAACCAGCGTGCAGGCAGCAGCCCAGACGGTGCCATGTGGGCGTGGCTTGACCACGGGGGTAGCTCGCTGATTGGTGGGCGGGTGTTGGAATGAATGCAGCCATTCATAAAAATCGCAGGGCCGCTCTGTATTTGTTTTATGAGTTCAAAAATTAAAATGTAACAGCCGCTTTCAAGTCACACTTTGGCACATTCCTGCTTTTGTGGCCACCTTTCTCATAACACTAAGTAAATATATTCAGCTGGGCCAGACAGCACGGTAACATTAATAAGGCCTCCACCTCTGGGGGAAAAAAAAAAAGAAAGAAAAGAAGTGGGGGGAGGAATTCCTTCTGTTTTTCCAGACCAGTGTAGGTGCCAGGGCAGAAAATTGAAGTGGAGTGTATTAAGCAAATAGTAAAATAATAGCAGTTGTCAGAGAGAGTGAACACACCTCTCTTTGTCCGTGTCCATCACAGTCGGAGAAAATGTGTTTCCAGGGTTTTTAAAGGCAGGTTTTGATTGTTTTGCTCTCTTGAAGGCTTCATCTTGAATTCAGGTGGGCCGCCTGTTTCTGACTTATTATTTCTAACCACATGGTGCTGACACGGGAGTGATGAGGATATGATCACTTGGAAAGAATGGTGGAGTCGAGGTTGAAAGCAGGATTATTGTTTTAAGGGCAGCTCATATGAGGGTTGGCCTCCTCCTCCTCCTCTCTCTCTCTTTTTTTTTTTTTCAACCACAGGTTTCCAGCCACACCTGCCCCAACACAGAGACCTCTTTTGATGAAAGAAATGTGATATGCAGAGGTTTTGAAAGTCAGGATCTTGCTATGAATGTCCATGTACACTTTTAACATTCTGGCTTAGACCTAAAAGGGCTCAAAAAAAAAAAAAAATCTCACATGTTTTCTCACATGGTGCTGTGATTATGGGATTTACAGGGAAATCTTAGTTACATTCGCCATTCCTGAGTCTCTAGTGAATTAATTACACATTCAAAGGTTAATAATCATTTCTGAATATAGGTTGATTTCAGGCTTAATAAAGGTTATTCAATTTTAAACGACGGTGCCGTTCTACCCATCACTATTCATTCAGAAGCTTTTAACTTGTATCTGGTGCAAAATATGTGCAGTTTTATGCTTCATCCCTCCTAAATTAATACTAAAAATGCCCCATATTTCATATCTAATACTCCATACTCACTTTCTAACTACTTTCCTTACTGGTTTCTGTGTTGTACTTTGGCTCTTTTACCTTTTTCCCAAAATGTACTCTTTATGTTCCCGTTCAAAATGTATTTCTCTCTATTTTATTGTACCTTGCACAATGCACAGACTACTGAGATTACAACTAAGCATCTAATTGCATGTGATATATGAGCATCTAACACATACATCACATTGTTTCTTCAGAAGCTGAGCTGACTTACGCTGTAGATGGTCAGCCTTCTTCCCCATCCCTGACTTTGCCATGTGGCAGATGTTGGGCGTTTAGATTCCCCTGCCAAGCAGCGCTCTTCAGTTTGAGATTACAACAGCACATCTCATGCTGATTTGGCAGGTCTCATCAATGCCCTGATGCAGTTGCTTCAACACGGATAATCCTCGGCAAGGGAGAGAGGAATATGAGCTACAGACACAGTAAACATCCCCACCTTTCCTGTTCCTCCCTTGACTAAATCTTACTCAGCCTCGAGCAGATTTGCAACTTCTGAGACACAGTGAGCTGATTTCAGTCCTGACAAATCTTTATTTGCCTCACCAAAGCAAAGTGCTTTTAAAGTCCTTCCAGGAATGAGAGTAATTCTAAAATCAATGTTGTTCTTGAAGATAAGGTGGAGGCCATTCAAACAAATACACCAAGAGAAAAAACCTTTGCCCAGGTGGCTCAGGTAAAACCTCTTTTAAAAGACTTTAACATTTTGGGAAACAAACTTTCACACTAGGATTTAAAATGGCCAAAAATTAGTGACAGAATCAATTAAATTCAGCAGAATCAGTGTGATCAGAGGCTCATTAGTGGCAGCACTGACTTTTTAAAACAACCTCTATTGCAGAAAAAGAACCTCTGCTTCATGAAGACAGAGGAGCTTGCAGAGGGTTTTGTGACAGAAGTCAATGGTACAAAAACGCCTTTTGAATAAACTATGAGAACATATTCTCTCATTGGTGACTAAACTCAGCTAATAAACTAACAAATCGGCCTGCTCGCTATCTTAGAGGGCTTCACTGTCCCTCCTCAGTAACTTTTTATGTATATGATAGTGAACAAGACGCCAGAGGAGCTTAAACAGAGCAACAGTGGGAAGAGTGACGAAGAAGTAATGAAAATCTCAGGAGTTTTTGCGACTGATGCTTTACATGAGAAGATTTATCACTGATGTGTCTGTACAGTAAGTCTGAGGCCACAGACAGTTAACTAATCCTAGGCAGCAATTGGCAGTGATGTAACTCCCGTAAAACCACAGCGTTTTGGGTTTACATGTTGGCTTTTGTACTGATTAAACTAATGAGATACAGCATGTTTATTTGTAAGGTTAAGGTGTTAGACAGAAGGCAGAGTTTTCAGTCTTTATGGGCTCCAACTACATGAAAACATACACATTATATGAAATTTGTCACCTTCCTCTCAGAAAGAAAACACAACAAAGGAAGGAGAAATATTAGATCACTTTAAAATATTTGTAAATCAGTGTGACTTCACTCGAGTGCTATCTACATTTCACTGAAAAACACATTAGAGGCCACGGAGAGGGGGGGTCATTACTCTCAATTTAAAAAAGGAAACCACGTCAGGAAACTGTCAGTCATAGCTCTAATGGTGTGGCCAAAGAGACAAAGTCACGGCCCATCTATTTTAATCCTCCGGTGGTCACGGTACAGGGGGGGCGCTCTGGAAGTCCTGTGACTGCTTCTGTTTTCAGCCTCTCCACTGATGCCGAACAGGAGAGAGAATCAGAAACCGACAGAGATGTAAAACTAATGTTCTGTGCTGAGGGCTGTTCTCAAGACGGGCAAATGATTTACTTGATGTCGTCGGCGCTTCTCTGTCATAAGTTTTATGGTTATTATTCTGTCTGACCTGTTTTACCGTGTTCTTTGGAAAAATAGACACTTTATTGTGAGAGATGTCCTGAGATTGAAGTTAGAGTTTGAATCACCACGAGGGAGAATTTGTTCTTGATTTAGTTAGGAAGCTGGATGACGGGTTTTTGCTATAATAATAAGACTCTTGCAAATAGAAAGCAGAAGTGGAAGAAGCACCTGCACAACAATGTAAGACATTAACTGTAAGTGCCATTTAAAGTGTTAATTAAATAAAAGCATACAAATAATATCAGCAAGATGTACTTGAAGTGATCGAAAAGTAGCAGAAAAATAATGTAACTGATATTATTATTAGTTATTATCACTGATGCTGCATTGCTGTAGAAGCTCCACAGTTGTAGTTTGTCAAAGTGGAACAGTTTTAAATATATAGTTATGTTATTAAGTCCAGCAGCTCTCAACCCAAGAATTGAGGCCATCAGAAAGGATGAACAGAAACATCTGAGTGCTTGTGAGATGATTAATGTGAGATGACGACTGAAGTGGCATCAAAAGTGTCTGTTTTGCTTGTTTGTTCTTCATCTGTCATCCTGCTTTACCCTCCTGTCAAATGGAAATACTCATGTCCAGAACAAATAATGCAAAATCTAAGTCAAGCAGGGAGCTTGAGGATACAATACTTAGTTACTTTACCCCACTGAGTAGCCGTGCTAATAAACTACCACACTATAATAACGTGTTAACAATGCCAGACATGCACCTAGTTGCTAAAAGCACTTATATTGCAAAATGCCTCCTTTAAGAATGATATAAAGTCAGATCATCTTTGCTGATGCATTAATCCTTTTGCACACAGCTTGGTGTGTGGATGTCTGTCTCTACATGTGAGTTCCTTATTAACCAATACTAAAATTATACAATGCGTCTAAAACGTATTATTTATTATGTATTTCAATCCTTCCAGTTTTAATACAAGCAAGTACACCAAGCTAACATTTAAAGGCATTAAACAAATGAAAAAAAAACTGAATCATTTTAAAATTAATTTTCTTTTTTAATCTTCATTAAACATGATTAAAATACAGAAATCCAGTATATATGCCAATTAAAACAAAGTAATAAAATGCCTTTAACATATTTCTCCAAAACAAATAAATGTCCGATATTTTCAGGAGATAAATAAACAAAACAATTTGCACTTTAATGTTTATTAATAGAGGCGTCTTCTTTAGTTTTCTGTGATTCTGTGACATTTACATTCAAAAAATGATGAAGCTGTTCAATTTTTTAAGCTGGGATGACATTATGATCATATTCTTTGTGTTTAAAATCAGAATCTAAGTAACTACAGCTGATAAATAATTCGAAAGCACAAGGATTTGTAGGACATGGACAGTAGAATCCCAAACTTTTACTTATTGCCGGTACGTGGCCTCGGCCTTTTCTAGGGGGTTGACCCTGAAGGAACAACAGTAACGAGATGCACGACGGTGATATGAGCCAAGACCTCATAATGCCCAGACCGTCAGGAGCTGAACGACCCGACACTGTGCCGTTCCCCTCACGTGGCCGAGAGGTACGAACCGGGTGCAACACGATACACAAAAACATCAAGGGAGACACGGCTTTATGAGAAAGGGCCGACGTGGGAAAACAGGAAACGTCCAGAGGAAAAAAAAAGCAGTGAATAAAAGTAGGTAAAGGGGTGGTGAGAAAGAGAAGAAAGAAGGCAGAGAGGAGGAGGAGGAGGAGGAGAGTGTGTGGTGGTGGATGGGAGGTGGTGGTGGTGCTGGTGGTGACAGGTGTTTCATGGTAAGAGAGTTTGTTTTTTCAAGAGGAGGAGTGAGCAAGTTCCCCGCTGACTGGTCTGGTCCGCCCGCGATGGGGTTCCTGGCAGTCTGGTAGTATGGTATTTCACACAAAAACAGACTCGCTGCTGCTTCAGCCCGTACCCGCTTTTAAGGCCACATGAACCAAATTACACGATCCTAAGGTCGTACGCCTCCAAACGCATAAATTACACGCGGACGGACCAGAAAGAAGTGGCCGTTACATAACGTAATTCCAATGCAATTATCCAAATGGGAGCATGAAATCGAGACTTAAAGAAGTGAAGTAAAGGCGTGTCCTGAGAGAAATAGCAGGAAGAGAGAGCGCAAGCGGTGGTGACAGGGTCATTAAACTGGTTTCTCTGGAGCTGTAGTGGAAAAGTTAAGCATGTGGCAACCTCGTTTATGTGTGGAGAAAGGTGCCTGTATGCTATTCGTTGTTTTAAATCTTTATACAATAACAGAACAGAAACCTGATTGCCGTACACAGAGAACGTGTGAACCTGTGTTTGTGTGCGCACGCCACGTGGAATATTGTGATGTGTAACGGGATACGTGCTAAATCTGGCGTCGACATATGGTTCCTGTGTTAATGAACTGTGCAGTTTAAAACTCACACAGCATTGTAAAGTTACATAAGAGAGCAGGACTCAGCTTTCTGAGGAGAAAAGACAGGCCCGGGCCAAGACTGGCAACAACCTGAGACAAAGACGACCTCCTTGGAGCAACTCCTCCCTCTGGTGGAAGCTTCATAACAAAGTAACGGGTTCAAAAAGACAACATTAAACCTATGTTCATGGATGAAGTTTTTAAATAAATAAGATGGAAACCTGTCTTAGATCAGCCCCTCAGTTCTCTGATTTGATAATGTTAGTTTTTGGAGATTTTTATTATCAGATTTTTAAGATTTACTCTTTCTTAGTGGGAATAGTTTTCACAGCAGAGACTGTTTTCTTCTCTTAACCCTCCAGAAGATGGAGCCAAACACTACGGTATTGGAAAAAAAGTATACTCCACCATAGTAGAATCTGATCCAATGCTTAGCAGGTAGATTCTGTGTTGTAAAGTCAACATTGCCGGTTGCAAACAAACCAATTTCCTAAGGCTGTGGTGTCAAAGGTGAAGCTGAGCTGCCATGTGCCACTGAAAGACAACAAGTTTTCTCTCTCAGCTTGTTTGACCAGAGAGAGACTAATCAGGTGTTTTATAGACTATAATCCCCATGCATCCACACCTTAAAGAGCTACATGATCACATTAATATCAGATGCTTTTTTGTTTTTGAGAATGTCCACTGCTGCACGACTCTTAAATGTTTTGCTGCTTTCGTGTCACTTCCTCCCTGATCTTTAATTAAACTCTTATCAACAGCAGGTGGTGGAGCCGACGACAGGTCCTCCTCTCTCCCTCTTCTGCTCCTTGTCTTCTCTATTTCTATCGCCCATTCTTATTTTTTCAATTCATTTCCTTTTACTGAACCTCACCGACTCCTTTTCCCTTTTTGCTTCTCCCTCCTATCTTTTCTCCAGACTGTGACAGCAGAGCACAGTCGCTTTGAACTGGGTTTTATTCGGAGCACGCTCTTGTCTCCCATCACCCATGGTCTCCTGATTAGACTGCAACCCTCCCTCCCCACCTCCACCCGTCTTCTTAGCAGTCACTGGGGCTCACAGCAGCCGACTGACAGGCAAGGAGAAAGCTTTTCCCAGGTAGAGTAGCAGCATTGCCTGAAGACTTGTAAGCCTAAATATCCCACTTGTCTGGGAGGTGGGGATTACCCTTTGGCCAGCTGCTAGATCCTTCATTTCCCATATGGGAGTCTTTGGGTTTGAAAAGCAGAAATATGAAAGCTTGTTCCATATAAGCTGCTGTAAGGGCAGATGCATAGTGTGTGTCGGGATTGTAGCCCGCGGTGCTTAATACCCACTTACATGAAAATTTAGAGAATTACATCGAAAAACAAACCATTTGGTGCTGGTTGGAGACATATGCTGGCCTGCTGGCAACGTGTGCTGTTCAGGCTTTTAAAAACATGTTGTGCAGCCCCTCAGCTCTCTTAAAGCTATAATTAGCCATGCATTTACCTGCTACTAATACAGCTACAGTATGTGCAGCATTACAGGCTTGATGGTTGGAATATAGTGTAACAAGACAAACAGATTTTACATCAATATTTTTAGTGGCTGTGTGAAGTTATACCACATGCCTTTTAATGGTTGCTTTGACAATGTCACTCTTTACAGCAGAAGAGAGCGTAAAAGTAAGCTGGTGGGATTGAAAAGTAGTGTAATATATAAACAACAACCACATGACCACAGGAAGTGTCATTTAGAAGGTCTCATCTCATCTCCAGCCTTTTGGTTATTATATCTCCGGGTTTACATTTTTAAACCAACACATCACAGCGTTCCTTCATCTTAACCGTTGGAGCCTCTCAGGGCTGCGTCCTGAGCACCTCCTTTATTTACTCGTTACCCATCACTGTGTGGCAGAACAGAACATCTCAGTAGTGGGTTGAAACAGAAGGTCAAGTGCTCATTGTAAACCTGAGCAGGCCTAAAAGCTGCAGACACATCACTATCAGCGTGAAAAACATCTCCTCTCTAGATAAGAGGACACAGATACAACTTCACCTCTTAAAGAAGCTCACATCTACGCTTAGATCAACCTCTAACCACACAACAACCTCCAGTGCTAAAAAATGGAGCTAAATGCTAAAAACTGCAGTTCCTTGAATAAATGCAGATCCATCCCATCTATCTTTCCATTCATCTATTATCTGCACACTGCTTAATCCTCACTGGGGTCGTGGGGGGGCTGGAGTCTATCCCAGACTCAGGGTGAAGACAGGGGACACCCTGGACAGGTCACCAGTCTATCACAGGGCGACACGTAGATTCAACCAAGCACACTCACATTCACACCTACGGACAATTTAGAATCACCAATTAACCTCAACATGTTTTTGGACCGTGTGGGAGGAAGCTGGAGAACCTGGAGAGAACCCACGCTGCACGGGGAGAACATGCAAACTCCACACAGAAAGATCCCAGGTGTCCCAACTGGGATGTGATCTTCTAGCTGGGAGTAAACGGTGCTAATCCCCGAGCCTCCGGCAGCCCTCAAGTTGATCCCAGGTTTAAAATACCTAACATTACAGCAGGAATAAATGTCGTATTACTAATGGTTTTGGTGTCTGTTGTGATTTTCCCCGTTCATGACAAATGTATGTTGGGGGAGTTTTTGTATAACTTATCTGTATTAATGCTTAAAGTTATGCATAATTGAGGGTGTGGGCACAAGACAGTCCATAACCAAGACGTTTGTATGGCCCATCTCAGCTCCACTCATGCTCCACCTTTTTGCTTATTTATGGATTAGCTGGGAGTTTTGAGGATGGCAAAGGTGCAGGAGTCACAACACTGAACTTAGAAATCACTCATCAGGAGGCTTATGGGTGACATCAAAAAAGATGTGGTCAATCTTTTCATACAGTCTATGCTTCTAACATAGAATGAGGGAGTATTTCAACAAAAGGCGATTAGAAATGCACAGTACATCTTTGGCAGCCAGGGACCATGCATTCATGACACCCTCCTCAAACATTGTCTGTGAAGAAACTATGACAAAACACAAGAGCAACCAGCCAGACTTCTGGGGGCCCTAAAAGTGTCTAATAACTCATACAAACAGCTCTTATCACACTGCTGCTGTTAATTTAAACTGAGTTCTCAATAACAAAAGAAAAATTAGCAGCAATGTAGGTCTTTCTTTCATTTGGTCCACTTCTTTGATCCAGATCGAAATATCTCAAGAGCTGACAGATGGTCAGACATGGGAGTTGCAGACATCGAACCAATCCTGTTGGCTTTTTCTATAAAAACACCACCGAGCTCAAACAGGTTCGAACAGGTGTCTCCATTTTATGGATTTCCATGAGTTTTGCAGCAGCAACTCATTTGCAAAACCAATCACACAGTCATGAACCTCAGATGCTTTCTTTGCTAATTATCAAATGTTAGCATGCAAACATGGTAATGCTCTGAACTCAGGGGGCAAACACATGCTAAACTTCATTATGCTTAGCATGCTAACACTGGCTGCTGTCTGTAAATGTGGCCTTGCAGTTGTGAGCAAGGCAACAGACTCTTGCACCATTACCATGTCTGTATACAGTGTACACTCACTATTCTGTCTTTTTCACATCGGCCTATAATCATCTCTTGTATGCGTTAGATTATTTTCAGCTCAATCTAGAAATGACAAGATTAAGTAAAAGTGTAAGGATGTGTATGACAAAGTTAAGCTGAAGTAAAGTGAATTCTGATCCCCTCTCCGGAGCCATTTTCTTGTCTTTGCTCCAGAACCTCCTCCTCCTCCTCCCTCTCCATCTGTCCCCAGCCATGCATCCCATTCTTCCTCGCTACTTCCCACCTTTTCTCCCTCCTCATCCATCATTTGCTTCCCACCCATTCCTCATAACCACACATGCTTTTCTCCTCATCCCCAGGGAGACGCACCGCAAGCCGACAACAAGCGCAACCTTCCTTTAGCAGAGACACACTAACACAGATGTCTCCGACTGCAACATTTACAGATAACCCATATCTTTCTCTGTCCCTTCCCTCCATCCTTCATTTGCCTCTCCTCTGTTTCCTCTTCCTCTGCCTGCTCCGACCCCGCTGGAATGAGGGTCTTATGAAGATAAATGACGCCTCTCAGCTTCCGTACCCTCCTCCCATCTGCTTCCTTCGCAGCTGCAGCGGGGAATTCCCTTGGAATTCTCTCATTCCTCAGAGCATCTTGCCTGACAGGTTCTCAGCATAATTTCTGTCCACGAGGAACCGAGGAAAAGACTATATATGGTTGACTGATATAGCTGCAGACATTAGCTTACCACTATGGTGTTGGAGGAGCTTGAAGCTAATCAGATTTCAATTACAGAGGAAATGAAGCGAAAATCTGAAGAGGCTATTTCATAATCAGGGTTATTGAGTATTTTTCTGGCACTACACCTCTGCTATGATTCTGCAGATGAAAAGACAATCCAGTGCAAATCTAATTCAGCCTGTTACTCGTTGATGTTAGACGGAGCAGTTTGATGAATGCATTTTGGGAAATACTGTTATCAGGCTATTTGTCAGGACTTAGATAAGATAATTGATACTGTTCTGGTGCATGTATAAAGCCAGGGAAAAGAATAACCGGGCCAAAAGACTCAAACCAGAGAAATAGTTTGTCTGAATATGTCGGTAATGACACAAATTATAACATTTTGTTTGTTTAGTCTCTGCAAAAACCAAAAAATATAGAAAATGACAACAATCTGATGTGTAGCTCTGCAATTTCTTGTCTGGGACTTCTGAAGTCTCTGCTGGCTGCCTGGCAATTGTTAGCGGCCAAAGAATTGTTGAATAGCAAATCGATGTTTTTACACTTCAGTTTTTGTTGGAACAAGCAAAATGTAAGATGTTGAATAGTCAGCTTTAGGGATGGTGGCGCTAAGCTGCAGCCTAATATTTAATGACATACGACTAGTACTCATCTTCTCTAAAAAGTGAATAAACTTCTCTGCTCAAGGTTCGATCTAGTGTTTGCTTCACTACATATAAATAAAACACGTCTTGCTCTGATGCCACACAGAGCAATAAATACTAATGTCAATACTCACATTGATTTCTTGGGAGACTCTGTATAAATATGGAAAAAAGAAGGTTTTGCACACTACAGTTACATCACCTTTATTACAGCAAATGACTTGTTTCCTTGTCCCAATTTATGATCAAAACGGACTTCAGGGGTCAGCAGAAGTGTTCCAGGTGAGCTTGCTAATTTGGTTGGACTGTCAGAACATGTAGAGACAAGATTTCCTGCAAATAACTGAACACCTTCATGTCTCTGCTTGTCTGATCTAACAACATTGCAGGAGTATAAAGACGAGGTGTAGGCATAATTTGCAACAGCTGTAATGAATGCTGGCTTAGAGAAACAGTGAGGATCCTGATAGAGCATCATACAAAGCGATCACAGCATTGACTGGGCAAAGGGCAAAGATCATCAACCAGGGGTCAGCAAACAGAGATAGATCGATGTGAATGTTCTAATCCCCCAGGACCAGTGGTGGGCTGTGCAACGATACTAACAGAGCGACCAAACTATGTTACTACAACTTCTGCACACGCTGGCCCAGAAAGCATCCTTCCTACACAAAATGTTATTAAAATGGGCAAGCAAACTTTGAAACCAGCACAGACACAGAGAAGTAACTCTTTTTAATTATCAAGGCCTGATCCATTTGGTCGATTAATATTTGCAATGTCTAGAAGAGCTCCATGATTATTTCATTTAATCATATTCATGTGTGTGGAGAGCCAACAGCAAGTCAGCCAGCCTGGCTGGCGGCACTTTCGGTCGCACATGCTCTCTTTGGGCTCGACTGAGAAGGAAACTAATGAACACTCTTCCGGCCCATAATTGCAGAAGCCTGCGGAACATACGGGTGTGGAGGAAGCTCGGAAAGGTTTTTCGCTGTATGCGCCATTGAGCATCTTGTAATCTAGTATCCAGTTCTCCTTAATACATCCATGAATATTCACATGTGACACCAGAGAGCATCTTTAATGTGCGGCACAATCACATGACGGCAGTTCTATGCTCACATGGAGACACTTGAGCAAAAACAACATTGCTGCCCAGGCTGTTGAGAAACCTTCGCACATAGCTACACAGTGAACTGTCCAAGTTCCGACGTTGTGTAGAAAGTTCTGTTTTACACTGAAACAGATACTAGAATAAGACCAGAAAAGTTCCATGTTGTTCCTTCATTTCCCCCATTCCACACATTGAGCAGAAGGGTATAAATAAATCAAAGCAGGAGCAAATGCCTTACAAGTCTGCAGTCATGAGTGCTTGTATGCATGTGAGGGTACCTAAGAGAATCCATGAGATGGAGAGGGAATGTTTAATTTAAAATGAAGACAGAGAACAGCCTCTGAAAAAAACAGTCTATTCCACTCACCTCGGCACCTTGAGCTACTTGCAGAGGCAGCAACCCTGAAGACCAAACACTTATCAAGGACACGGAGCAGCCTTCCTTTTGCTCAACTCAAAACATGATAATACATTCAGAGCCTGCACTTTTTAGAAAAAGTCAATATCTTATGGGTAATTAGTGTTACAGTCAACATGTGCAACACACTGATGAACCAGCAGTTACTGCAGGCTACGTGTGATCAGTGAACAACAGCCTTAAGTGGCAAAAGAAAAGATGCACAAGTGGGTTTCCTTGTCTGTTAATCAAACGAAACACTCTCCCTTTGTGTCCGTGCGGCTTTCTGATGCTAATCAGTGTGCAAAAACACATCTGTAATAAACTGAATCCAGTGTGTCTCTAAATGTCAAGGTATATTTTGCTTTATTTCTTGATTGTTTATCATTGGGGCGGCACAGTGGCTCGGTTGTTAGCACTGACATGATCCCAGGCATCCTAACCGGGACGTCTGGGATTGTTCTGTGTGGAGTCTCCATGTTCTACCCGTGCAGGGTGGGTTCTCTCCGGGTTCTCTGGCTTCGTCCCACAGTCCAAAAACATGTTGAGGTTAATTGGTGATTCTAAATTGTCCGTAGGTGTGAATGTGAGTGTGCTTAGTTGTCTGTCTCTAAGTGTAGCCCTGTGATAGACTGGTGACCTGTCCAGGGTGTCTCCTAAGTCGGTTGGGATAGACTCCAACCCCCCGCGACCCTAGTGAGGATTAAGCGGTGTATAGATAATGGATGGATGGATGGACTTATATTTATTTATTTATTTTTACTTTAATCCTTGATATTATGTATTTATCACATATATTTCCTGCGTTCTTACTGTGAGTTTGCAACATAGGACTCTTGTATTTTTACGATAAAAGTACGACTCTTGAGACTCTTGAGATATGACTCCTGCTTGGTGAATTGCACTGATCCTGTGACTGTGGTCACAGCTACCAGAGGGACTAAAGCCATAGTTATATTATACTTTTGTCTGATGAATATTCACACCGTTTTCCATTCATGTCCATTGAAGCGAACACAACAGGCACATTTTTTCACACCTTTGTTCAGCTTTGACTGAACGGGTGTGCTTGGTTATCTAACAGAAACACTGAAGCGCTGTAATTGATGAAGTTTTTACTCTGCAGAGCCAGACTGATCAGTTGATATTATAGACCAGTATTGGCCTATGACAAATAGATTTATATAAGAAGTTTTTGCTCCCTATAATCATTATTGACATTAATCCAGTATCTGTCAGCTTCCAATATTGTGGCGTTTCTCACCATAAACTAGCATCACTCTCATACACTGTTTATCATCTCACTCAGCGATTATTATTTTTAAACAGTTAGAAATGTGGTCTTAAATCCTTTTTTTTAGGGCCGTGTCACTAAGTTTCTGGCTCCACCTACTTGGCATGGATGAACAGATGCCACTTTGAGATGTGAGCGTCACTGAAGACTGTCTGTTTAAGGATATCTATACATCTGTGACGTCTATGTATTTGATAAGGAGAACAGGGTTCGAAACAAGAAAACATTTTCCAAAGGGAGCTTTTTATATTTGCACTGCTTTTGTCCAATAGAGCTCTTTGAGTTAATGCCAATAGCCGCTTCGTCTAAATCACCGACATGTCTGTTAGACTTCATCCCAAATCGGCTCCTTAAGGAAATGTTTCCCCATACATTTAAGGTTGCTGTGAGTAAACCTCTTCTTAAAAAGCTTTTTCTTGATCCTGATATTTTAGCCACTACAACATGATTTAGGGCACATGATAGCAGAGAAACAGTGCTGCTAAAGCCCCCAATGATCTTCTGATAGTCTCAGACAGGAGACTCCTCTCTATACTTGTTCTGCTAAACTGTATCTGATACAGCTGATCACAACATTTTATTACAGAAACTGGAACATGTCATTGGGATCACAGGAATGGAACTAGGCTGGTTTAAGTCACATTATCAGATAAATTCCAGTTTGCTCACATTAATGATAATTCTTCCATGCACACAAGAGATAGTTATAGAGTTCTGTGCTAGGACTAATACTGAATGCTCCCTTAGGTCATAATATTTAGAAATGCTCAAGAAACATTCACTGTGATGCAGATGACACCCTGCTATATTTATCTGTGAAGTCAGATAAAGCAAATCAGTTACTCAAACTTTGAGCATATCTTCAAAATATAAAGGCCCAAAAGACCTGTGACTTTCTTCTTCTAAATTCAGACAGAACTGAAGCTGTTGTACTGGGCCCTAAACACCTCAGAAACACACTATTTCACCATACAGTTGGTACGGATGCTTTGGCTACCAGTACTACTGTGATAAACCTTAGAGGTATTTTTGACAAGGATTTGTCGTTTCACACACAAAACAACTGTCAAGGATGGCCTTCTTTCACCTGCACAACATTCTCAAGAACATCTTCTCTCAGAGTGATGCTGAAAATCAAATTTCTTCCATATTAGCTTCTTCTGTAAAGCTCTTCATGACAAAGCGCCATCTTATCCTAAAGACCGTGCTGTACCATACTATCTCGACAAAGCACTGCACTCAGAGTGCAGGCTTACTTGCGGTTCAAAGAGTTTCTTTTAAAGCAGATTGGGCGGCAGAACCTTCAGCTATCAGACTCACAGCCGCTGTGAAACCAGATCCTAGTTTCTCTGTTTATTAATGTAAGACCTTCATTTTACTATATGAAGTGGCTTGAGATTCCATATACTGTGAATTGGTGCTGGATAAATACAAATTAATTGAATTGATTGATTTTATATTGTGGAGAATCCCCAGGAAACGAAAAAAAAACATTCTCATAACACCACACATACCTATACAGACACACACAGGCTCAGCACTATTAGCGAGGTTAAAAACCTGCAGATGAGAGAGGACTGGGAGAGTATATTGGGAACCAAGGCTACACCGGCCACCTTGAAATTGGGAACCTTTAATGGGGACACTGAGATGTGCAATATTTTTCTTTTTCTTTTGCTGAAATTGAAACACGGTTAGAATGAGGACATCTGTGAATAGATTCCTTTGATTTCCTTTGATGTGAAGAGCTGTAGTTCATAAAGTGATGATGTGCTTGGAGAAAAGTGTTTGATGAATACTTTTGTGTTTTTTGCCAAAGGCGGAATAAAAAAAAAGAATGGAGACATTTTTATGTGAGTCGTGTTTGAGAGTGAGAGAGAGACGAGGCTGTGTGTATATCTCTCTGAGGACCAGTTTGAGTTTTAGACCCTGGAAGTGAGGACATTTTGGGAAACGTTTTTGCTGGTGCTCTGTTTCTGACATACTTTCAAAGGGCTGTTTTGAGGATTAAGACTTGATTTAGGGTTCAGGTTAGAATTTGTGTTAGTCTCAGCAGTAAGGTAAGTAGCTAGGTTATACATAATAACAATGAATGCCCTCATAAGAGAAGTAGTAGCAAATAAACTGGGATTTTATTTAAGGAAAAATAAAATACAAGCAGGAATGGAATAGTAACTGAACTCAAAAAAGAAAAAACACTCAACAAGGAAGGCTAATGAAGACAGGGGAACTGAGAAAATACTACAAAAAACTAAGGAAAAATACAGAATAACTAAACTGGATGACAGAAACTCTCACAGAAACCAGAATTAAAACTACAGCAGGGGAAGAGGGCAGGCAGGCTTTTGGAAATGCAGGCTGGAACAGGTTGGAGGACAGTGGCAGGAAAAAAAGGCTGGCTGAGGGAATGCAGGCTGGACGCAGGATGGAGATCAGTGGCAGGAAAAAGGCTGCCTGGAAACGGGTTGACATGCGGCCGTAAAGCCAGTGGAGGGACTGAGGGCCTGGCGCAGAGTGAAGGGAAGAGCTGATTCTTATAGGGAGCTGAGGTGATTAGGTTCAGGTGAGCTGATAGTAGCAGCTGTCTGTGATTGACCTGATGAGTGTGGCTTGATTACTGGCAGACAGACAGAGAGACAGAGGCTCAGGATGGGTGAGAGGGAAACAAAAAGTGAGCCAGACAGGGACAGATGATGGGTTGAGAAGCACATTGTCTGTCTCAGTGTTTGATACTAATAGAAGTTAAGACCATGAAATGACAAAGGAGGGTATGTCACAGAGCAGCAAAGTGAAAAAAAGAACCAGAGCTTCGTTGTTTGTTCCTGGTGTCAAGGCCTACATGGCCAGACAGAGTGAGAGGAGAGAGACGATGGTTGTGATGCACTGCGATAAACAACTCGTCTCTCTCCGTCGCACCATGAAACATGGACCTGTAGGAGGTGAACCCAGAGGTGAATGCGCACAAAAACTTCAGTAACAGCTGGGTGTTGACACAGAGGAGAGTGTGAAAGGATTTCCAGCCTCAGCAGCTGTAAGGCTGAGAGGGAAGCTGTTCAGTTTGATATCACGTGTCTACAGCAAATGCACTACCTTGTGTTTCACGATGCATTTTAGTGGCAAACATTGTCAACAAGGGCTGCAAGGTGGCGCAGTTGGTTAGCACTGTTGCCTCGCAGCAAGAAGATTGCCGGTTCGGGTCCCGGTGGGGGCACCAGAATCTTTCTGCATGGAGTTTGCATGTTCTCCCCGTGCAGTGTGGGTTCTCTCCGGGTTCTCCAGCTTCCTCCCACACAGTCCAAAAACATGTTGAGGTTAATTGGTGATTGTAAATTGTCCGTAGGTGTGAATGTGAGTGTGCTTGGTTGTCTGTCTCTAAGTGCAGCCCTTTGATAGAGGCTCCAGCCCCCCCGCGACCCTAGTGAGGATTAAGCGGTGTGTAGATAATGGATGGATGGACATTGTCAACAAGCCAAATTCAATTTAGCATGCAAAGTACTATAGGATAAATTAACCTATGTGGCTTTGATATAAGAAGATTTATTGTTGTTTTATTGCTGGAGTACAATAAAGTCTGATCTAACTTGATAACAGAAAGCAGCCACACTCTCTCATTTTCAGACATATTTATGTTTCGCTTATTTTTTAAATTGGTTGTTTGTCTGCACAACGTCAATATAATCTGCTGTAATTATAATTAATCGCTATAATGAAATTGTGTAACCCAAATTAAAATGACCTGGAAATTTCTGAGGGAAAGGGAAGCAGCGTCGGTTATGTTTTCTCGTATCTTTTTCCGATTCAGCCGTCCTCGTGTACGTTGCAACTCAGAGCACCGTTTGTGAGCTGCTGTCCAAAAAGATTATAAATAACACTGAAAGTAAACAGCAAATGTGCCTCGGGCTCTAATGGCAGGCTTCCCTGACTGTACTCTAAGTGGTTTCTATGAGCAGAGGTGCTGACCTCGCCCCGCACATGGTCAAACACTTCTGGAGCAACAGACTTGGAGACTGATGGTTGCCATGGCTACGCGTGACCCCCATGCAGCTGAAACGCATAGACGGTGTAGCTAATGTTTGTGTACGCCTTTTCAGGCACACTTATTGTTTCCAGTATGTGTGATATTCTGAAGTACGTTGAAGGAATAGCGGTGACGGCTTTGAAAATCTTTTGAAGGGGCTTTCTGCTCGTGTCAGGCTACGTTCTCACACACACACACACACACACACAACACACACACAGACGTCAGAAAAACACACAGTGGGGGGAGCGGGCCCGACGGCGTGCTGCTTTCTGTTTTGATTCCGTAACATTCACCCGCTGATGAATCCAGCAACCATTTCGCTGAGTGATGAGTGACATTTCAGAAATTATTTTAGGTATCACAGCAGGGTGTTAAATGCTACTGAACACTGGGTTTGATTTTTAAGTCAGCAAATTGGAGCACACTTGTCATAGTTTTCATAGGAACTTGTGTGTGTGTGTGTGTGTGTGTGTGTGTTATTTTTTTTCTCAGTGACTTGTTCATACAAATTCGGATCGGCTTTAAAGCTTGCGAGAGTATTTTGAGGGCAATCAGCAGTGTTGCTTTAATCTTTTACAACTTTTTGAAGGAAATATTAAACCTTCAAATTGGCCCGAGCCTTGTATTTATAGCGATTTATTTATTTATTTTAGTTTTTCAGAGGTACACCAACATATTTAATCAATGTGTTTCCTCTTTGCAGTCCATAGAAATGCTCCCTTAGCTCACTCAGTATTGAAAAAAATGTAATATTTTGCATTCAAAAGAGGGAAATTTGTATCTTTTTAATGGAGCAAAACCTATTATGTTGTTCACTCGGGCAGCTTGATGCAATGCAATGACATATAACCACTTGCTATGATACATTACGCAGTAAATCCAGGCAACTCTTTGCAAAAGGACGTTCTATCTAAACAATCCCCTGTCCACAAGTTAGCTCTGTTCATTTATTGATTCTATATTTGTGAACTCTGAAACTTGCAGCTACCTCTCTTGGTCACATATGAACCCGCCAGCACCACAGTCTGATCGTGCTGGAGAACAATTTACTCCATGGTCTCTAGTTGGCGTTCTTTACTGGAAACTTGCTTTATTAGCCCCAAACACCTCCTTCAAACGAGAAGTTTCATTGTCCAACAGTCAGCAGCTCAGGACCACGGCAACGCTTCAAAATGGATTTATTTCCAGATGAGATACAGGGAAATTACGACTTTACTGAAACAACAAGTAATCTAAGTAATTGTTCTTTGTGCTTACATAGTTTTTTCAAAGTTTATCTTAGCCCTCTTCAATCTGTGACTGCGTGTTTTATAAAAAATGACAGCAGTGAATACCTCTAAACTAATTGCAGTCGGCATGGTGGAGAAAAAATAACACGTCTGATGACAATAGTAATTATGAAATCGAATCAAATGTATTTATAAAGCAACCAGGGTTGACAGGAGAGCCGTACATGCTGTCAGGCAGGCGGCAACACAATTATGTGCAAAACGTCAGAAAGAGTAAAATAGTTTAATACATACAATAATTCATAGTTTAAAACAAAGTAAGATTAATTAAATACTTAAACAAGCAAAGCAAGACAGTAATCTGTAAGATACATTCCTGCAGATAAATATGAAATGTTAAGATCATTAGGAGAAGCCTATAAAAACATCTTAAAGCTTTTTGTTTTTTTTTTTAAACAAGAAGGAAGATTTGATAGAAGGTGATTAATATCAATAGAAAGGTAAATATCAGTTTAGACTCATTTATATAGTGTTAACATCAGTATATGTGTATGTTAATATGTTATCTCTTCTAATTTCACTTGCTATTAACAAAAAAACAAACTTACTCCACACTAATGTAACCAGAGGATATTCTGAAAATCACTGATCTATTAAAAAGCCTGACAATGTCTTCTAATTTAAACCACAATATAAGATCACGAAACACTTCACCTGACAAGAACAAATCCCCAAATGGGAAAAGAAATGAATATAACAACACAATAAAACAGGAAATGCAAATGACAGTTTAGATTAATCTATATAGGATAAATGTAACTGTATCTACATGGTAATCTCTTCAGAAGTTGTCAGGCACAGATGAAGTTGAGTTTGTCTTCACAGTCCCAGTTCTCCCACAGTCCCTCGTTGGTTAAAGCTCCACAGCGTTTCCTTATTGGACACTGGTGGTCTTGACCTCCTGCTTGGGACCAGGCCTCATATTCCAGAGGGTCACCGTTGATCCACATCCAGCGGTCACCCAGGAAACGCAGGCCGATCCACAGACGCTCAGTGTGGTTGTGCTTGATCTCAGTCTGGGCCAGAAGGAGGTCGGTCACAGAGGTCACACTGGCGAGATCAGTTTGTTTCTCTCTGCAGTGACTCAGAGCGTCCTCCCAGGACATCTTCTCCTCCACCACGGTCACATCGATGCAGTAAAAACGGTAGGATTTGTCGCTGTTGTAATCACCCCATTGTCTATCAAGTTCGATGACTCCTTTGTCCTGATTGCCTTTATGATTATTTGGTTGTCCATCCCCCCAGTTCTCGTATGTAACGTGTCCACCTCCTGACCACATCCAAGCAGTGTAGTTGTTGGGGTCTCGCTGAAGTCCGATCCATCCATTATGAATCGTTCCACCTACATCGTTTTGTAGCTTGTCTATATCACTCTGACTGTTAAAAAAGGAAAGATCAGTGTAATATTGTCGACAGTGAGCCTGAGCTTCAGTCCAGTTTGCTTGATTCTCGACGAAAATGTGCTTTCCTATGTCTCCCTCAACAGCAATACAAAGAACAATGAAGAAGATGGTTCTTTCCATGGTCTCTGCTCTGTAGCTCAAGCTGAGAATGTTTTCCGTGGCTGCTTCTCCAAATGTCATTTAAATCACTAAAGGATATGACTTTGCATGAATATGTTTTGTTTACACAAGCAAAGCACAGTCATGGAAACTTAGCCCTTTCATGCATGAATTATGATAACTTCATTTTTACAAAGTGCTTTTATTCATCATTAGACATAAAAAACAAGGCTTGAACTTTATTTTTTTTCTCAACCCATTTTTATAAAAATATGTTTGCACGTCCACTCAGCTGGACAACATGCATTTTTTGCAGAAATATGTATTTAACAAACACATGAACAAAATCATATCATAGTGTTCTGAAATGTGAACCAACACACCATTGAGGGATTCACTCTCCTGTATAGATTCTCAAGTCTCTGGCTCATTATCCATCACCTGTCAGCCATAGCAGGGTGCACTGCCCCAGCACTAACCTATACAGAATGTTTTTATGGCTAACTTTACTGCAAGGAAACCTTTTCTAAACTTTCCCAGCACATCAAAATGAAACTAAAATCTGAAAGCACTTTTGTGCTTTAGCTTATCTAGAATTCAAACGTGAGGAAAAGAACGCAAAGGAAACATTTTTGCGTTGTTTTGCTGCAACTTTTACATCAATAACGGATCTGATTACCTTTTCCATGTGAGCAGGGTGGGGGCCAGCAGCATCTTTTGTCATTTAATTTGGAGGACAAGCTAGAAGGCCACAGGGATTGACAGCTGGACTTGATTTTTAGTGTCTGCTGCCATATTTGGCGACAGCTGGAGCGTCCGTTAACTGGCAGACAGCCTGACCCACAGTGGTTGTGCTTCTATTGTTGCTGTGCTTGTGTCAGTGATTCCCCCCCCTCCCGCTGACATTATACTCATATGATGTCATTAAGTTTTACGAGCTGCCTAAATTGTATGCTACATGAACCTCCTTTCTTGTGAATGAGTTTTCTTTTGGTGTGTGTGTGTTTACGTGCACCAAACCCTGCAGGAACTCCAGCATACAGTCAAACCTAATTAAACAATATTAAAATTTTATGTTCATATCAGCAGTGCTACTATGCAATACTGTAGTTTATTTAGCATATTATTACACTTTGAAGTTGTTT